GAGGGAGGGAGGGAGGGGTGCCGAGGGCAGAGCCAGCACAGGAAGGGCCTCGCTCCGCTGGGCGCTGTGAGTCCTGCCTGGAGGCTGAGTGCGGCAGGCCCCATCACAGTTAGTTTTCCTGCTGGTGAGTCAGCTGCCCCCTCTGCCTCCGGTTGCGGAGTTCACTGAGTGGTGGCAGGGACCCTGCTGTCCCTCCGCCCCAGCCCCACGCTGGAGGCCCGGGAAGGGTCGCGGATGCCGAGGACCCTCACTCCACGTCGGGGCCAGGGCCCGGGAGTCAGGACCAGCCGGCTCCCTACAGAATCTCAGAGAGCCCCCCTCCCTCCCTTCTCCCCTGAGGAGACAGTCCCATGGAAAACGGTTGGAAATGGAATTGAGAGGTCCGCTTCCTGCTGCTTCACCTGGGGCTCCCCCACCCTGGGTTCCTCTGTTTCCCTTCCCTTAGGAGGCCTTGGAGTCTACACAGCCTTGGGACTAAGAGCTGGATTCATAAAACTGCCATGGGGTCAGGGCTCAGCGTGTGCCCAGGGTCAGGGTTCAGAGTGTGACCAGGGTCAGGGCTGAGTGTGGCCAGGGTCAGGGCTCAGAGTGTGCCCAGGGTCAGGGTTCAGAGTGTGACCAGGGTCAGGGCTGAGTGTGGCCAGGGTCAGGGCTCAGAGTGTGCCCAGGGTCAGGGTTCAGAGTGTGACCAGGGTCAGGGCTGAGTGTGGCCAGGGTCAGGGCTCAGAGTGTGACCAGGGTCAGGGCTCAGAGTGTGACCAGGGTCAGGGTTCAGAGTGTGACCAGGGTCAGGGCTCAGAGTGTGACCAGGGTCAGGGTTCAGAGTGTGGCCAGGGTCAGGGCTCAGTGTGTGACCAGGGTCAGGGCTCAGCGTGTGCCCAGGGTCAGGGCTCAGCGTGTGCCCAGGGTCAGGGCTCAGAGTGTGCCCAGGGTCAGGGCTCAGAGTGTGCCCAGGGTCAGGGTTCAGAGTGTGACCAGGGTCAGGGCTCAGAGTGTGACCAGGGTCAGGGCTCAGAGTGTGACCAGGGTCAGGGCTGAGTGTGGCCAGGGTCAGGGCTCAGAGTGTGACCAGGGTCAGGGCTCAGAGTGTGACCAGGGTCAGGGTTCAGAGTGTGGCCAGGGTCAGGGCTGAGTGTGGCCAGGGTCAGGGCTCAGAGTGTGACCAGGGTCAGGGCTCAGAGTGTGACCAGGGTCAGGGCTGAGTGTGGCCAGGGTCAGGGCTCAGAGTGTGACCAGGGTCAGGGCTGAGTGTGACCAGGGTCAGGGCTCAGAGTGTGACCAGGGTCAGGGCTCAGAGTGTGGCCAGGGTCAGGGCTCAGAGTGTGACCAGGGTCAGGGCTCAGAGTGTGACCAGGGTCAGGGTTCAGAGTGTGACCAGGGTCAGGGCTCAGAGTGTGACCAGGGTCAGGGTTCAGAGTGTGGCCAGGGTCAGGGCTCAGTGTGTGACCAGGGTCAGGGCTCAGAGTGTGACCAGGGTCAGGGTTCAGAGTGTGGCCAGGGTCAGGGTTCAGAGTGTGACCAGGGTCAGGGTTCAGAGTGTGGCCAGGGTCAGGGTTCAGAGTGTGACCAGGGTCAGGGTTCAGAGTGTGGCCAGGGTCAGGGTTCAGAGTGTGGCCAGGGTCAGGGTTCAGAGTGTGACCAGGGTCAGGGCTCAGAATGTGACCAGGGTCAGGGCTCAGAATGTGACCAGGGTCAGGGCTCAGAGTGTGACCAGGGTCAGGGCTCAGTGTGTGACCAGGGTCAGGGCTCAGAGTGTGACCAGGGTCAGGGTTCAGAGTGTGGCCAGGGTCAGGGTTCAGAGTGTGACCAGGGTCAGGGTTCAGAGTGTGGCCAGGGTCAGGGTTCAGAGTGTGACCAGGGTCAGGGTTCAGAGTGTGGCCAGGGTCAGGGTTCAGAGTGTGGCCAGGGTCAGGGTTCAGAGTGTGACCAGGGTCAGGGCTCAGAATGTGACCAGGGTCAGGGCTCAGAATGTGACCAGGGTCAGGGCTCAGAGTGTGACCAGGGTCAGGGCTCAGAGTGTGACCAGGGTCAGGGCTCAGAGTGTGCCCAGGGTCAGGGTTCAGAGTGTGACCAGGGTCAGGGCTGAGTGTGCCCAGGGTCAGGGCTGAGTGTGACCAGGGTCAGGGCTCAGAGTGTGACCAGGATCAGGGATTAATGGGTTCAAAGTCAGTTAGAGGTCACAGCTGAGTTGATGACTGTGGTCAGAGATTGGCTTATGGCCATGCACAGGCCTTCAAGGTGACCAGGGTCCCGCTCCTCTGGGCTGAGTGAGGAGGTCCTAGGAGCTGATGTCCAGCGGGGGCCCATCAGCCTTCGTGCCCGTGGCGAGTGGGCCCTGGGTGTCCTGCAGCCGTGGCCAGGCCCCCGTGTGTGGGAGATGGCTCAGTGAGAAAGGTCAGTGGTCGGATCAGTGTCAGGGGGCAGGCGGGGGTTGGTGGTGGATGTGAATTGGTAGGAAATCTCAGGGGAAATGGCCCTTGGTTCAGGGTTCGAGGTTCCTGGCAGGTCTGGGCTGCGAGAAACCCCGAACCCTCTCCGCGGAGACCCTCCTGTCCCTGTAGGGGCACCACGGCTGAAGCAGGTGCGGGTGACCCTCATGGTCCGGGCATGCCACCGGGAGCTGGGCGTGGGGTCACCGACAGAATCCCTCCATCTGATCAGGGGCCCGCGGACCCTTCTCCTTCCCTCCGGAGGGGCCTGGGGGCAGGGGTCCTCTCTGCCCCTCCTGGAGAGGGTTCTGGACCAGGAACTGGGGCGAGGGGACAATTTTCTTTAAAGAGGCAAGTCGGGGAGCAAAGCCAGGTGGCCCCGATCAGGGAGGAGGAAGGCGTGGCCCTGCGGGGAAGCTCCCTGTGCGGGGGACACCACCGGGCCCCGGCGGCCTGTTCGCCTGTTCGGGGAGCCCTAGCCTTGCCCGCGGGCAGAGGAGCCAGGGCTGGCTGCTGCCTCCCCCAGAGCGGAGAGGAATCCTGACTCAGAGCTGCCCGCACCCTCGCAGCTGCTCGCGGCCTAATGTCAGAGGCCCCCTGGTGGCCACGAGCGGCTAGTGCAGCGAGGACACCAGGCCTCTAGGGCAGCTGCAGTGAGGATGGGGCCCAAGAAGGCGGAGGGGCACCCCTGTGGGCCTCAGAGGCCCCCCCCAGACTTGGAGGGAACAGCCCTTTTCCTGGGGGGAGGGGAGAAGGAAGGCTGCCCAGGGGTTGGGCTGGGAAGGGGCCCTCGCCTGTCCCCCGACTGCCTCACAGTCTGGGCCTCCATGTCCCTTCTGACCAGCCCCCGGGGCACCCCTAGAGGCACAGCACACGCTGGCCTGCGGGAGGGACTGGTTTGGACGGAGCTCCACGCGCTGAGATGAGCCATGGGCCTGGGCGCTGGGGTGACTAGAGTTGCCCGCCCCCTGCCCACCCCCGAGGGGGCTGGTGACGGGTGGGGGTGCTGACAGTGGCGGGGGGGTGTGATGTGATGGTGGTGGAGCCCTGCTTGGGGGTCATGGGGATGGTCACGGGGAGAGGGGTGAGGATGGGTACGGCATCCAGCGGAGGAAGGGCACGGGGACTGTGAACTACTGTTTGCAGTGGCCGCGAGGAGGCCCTGAGGGAGCGATGCTGGGCCAGAGGTGGGGCCGGGGCAGGGGCTTGGTGGGCGCAGAGGGGACGTGTGTCCAGCAGTGGACATGCAGGCAGCACACGAGGATCTGACACCCAGCGTGGACCACACGTTATGAAGGAAGCGTGGGGCTGGGCGGGACGCATCCTGGCAGAGAAGACCGTGAAGTAACTTCCCCGAAGCCATCCCTCCAAGACCCGGGGTTCGCCCCAGAGGGGCCCCCAGGAGAAGAGGGGCTGTGGGTGCTTCAGGGTGGGGTGCAGCAGCGAACGGGGCCATCCCCTCAGCTGATGAAAGTCAACTCCAAACACGGGACTGGGTGTCCCCACTGTCACCGAGCTGGAGGGTGGGAATGGGGAGGGGACGGCTGGGCCGGCCGCACAGGGCGAGTGGTAGGTGACGCCTCCCTGTCAAGCCCACCTCCTTGTGGCTCTTCGGTCAAACTCTTCCCTCAGCTTCTCTCAGGAGCCCCTCCCCCACCGGGGGCGAGACTGGCCAGACCCCACCGGGCAGCTCACGTGGCCCTTCCCAGCCCCACCGACCCTGACCGCTCAGGTAGGCTCTGCGGCCTGGGCCTCTGACTCGCCTGCCCATCACCCACCCACCTTCACCCCACTCATCCACCTGTCCATGCTCCATCCTTCCAACCGCACACTCATATGCCATCCATCCATCTCTGTACCCACCCATGCTGTCCATCCCCCGCCCCCCCCATGCAGCACCCCCCCCCCATCTCTCCAGGCCTCTGTCCATCACGGACCCTTCCTCCTGCAGCCTCCTCCCTCCACACCCACTTGCCTCGCCCTCCTCCAACCCTCCCCCCTCCCGTGCACCTGTATTGCTTAAGCACAACCCCCTGTAACTTCCCTCCATTCATCTGCTGTTGGTCCATCCACCCGCCCATCCCTCAGTCAGTCCGTCCATCCATCCATCCATCCATCCATCCATCATCCTGCCAGCCTTGGCTCCCGGAAGAGGCAGAGAGCAGAGCCCCAACTCCTGGCTTCCCTGCTGCCCGGGCAGGCTCTCCTAGGAGCCCGCGTGTGTGCATTTTATCGGCCCCCCCACCCCGTTATCCCGCTCCCCTCCCCCCCCGCCCCCCGCCCCCTCCCCTCTAACGTGTGATCTGGAAGCTCTGGAAGCCCTGATGTAATCCGTAATGCGGTCCCCGGCTCCCGATTAGGGATCCAGTTTCAGGGAGCGAGAGATTGGGGAGCGCGCAGCCGGTGGGGGAGCGGCTGGCCTCTCTCCTCCTCCTTCTCGCGGTCCTCGGCCTCCTCCTCCTCCTGCCCGCGCCGCCCCGCCCCCGGCTCCGTTCCCCCCGCCCCCCAGGAAGGGGAAAAAAGGCGAGAAGAGCGGGGCAGGCGAGAGGAGCGGAGCGGCGCGGCGCGGCAGCGGCGACCGGAGAGGGAGCGGCGGGCGCAGGCGGCAGCAGCGGGAGCGGCGTTGGCGGCGGCCCCGGCGGAGCGAACGCGGAACCGGAGAGCGGGGAGCCCAGGCGGCCGTGCGCGTCCTGGCCGGGCCCGGGCCCGCGCGCCCCGCATCGCCCGCAGTCCGGGCATCCAGACCGCCCCGGCGTCCGAGGGGCTCCGGCAGGCGGGGGGAGGGGAGGGGGCCTGCGCGCGCGCTCGGGGGCGCTCCGGGGAGCGTCCGGCTAGGCCCGGAGCCGGCCGGGGGCGGCGGCGGCAGGAGCACCCCCTCCGTTTGGGCGCCCGGCTCGGCCGCTGGCGACAAGGGGCGCTCCCGAGGATTTGCGAGTCTCCGGATCAAGTCTTCGCCAGCGGGGCCGCCGCTGCCGGGGAAGGTAAGGGAGGCTCGGGCTGGGGGCTGGGGCTGGGGGCGCGGCGCGGAGGGGCGCAGCGCGGGTGGGGGACCGGGGGAGGGGCGGGCGCCCGGACTTCCTAACTTCGCCGTTTGGGGCTTCTAAGCTGCGAGGTTTGTGTGGAGAGCTCGGAGTTGGCACCCCCGCCTCCCACCCCCAGCCCCCAGCCTCCTCCGGCGGCAGCGGCGGAATCTGGCAGGTCTCCGAGCGCCCGCGCCGGGCAGGCTGAGGAGGGGGCGCCCTGGGCGTGGGAGCGGCCCCGGAGCTGCTCGTCGCCCCCAGCCGTACGCACAAGCCTGGCCGGGCTGGGAGGCCGGGCTGGGAGGCGCCCCCTCTGCCACCAGGGCCGGCTGGGGAGGCTCCTGTGCCCCCACAGACAGACGCCAGCAGCGCGGGTCTCCGAGGGCCCCCCTATGTGACCCCCACAGCCCCACATAGACCCGGGCAGGACGGGGAGAGACACCCAGTGTGTCCCCCTTCCCCTAATCACACCCAGAGCCCCTACGGACATTCGGGGGCCCAAGATGCCTTTCCCCCGCGCGGAGCCTGGGGGCGCGTACAGGAAGCCCGGGTCTCTCGCAGCCCTCGCCGCAGCCCCGGCGCTGGTGGTGACACCCCCCCCAAACAGCGCCCCCATCCCCAGCGCCCTGGCTGTTCCCTGGCGTCTTCTTTTCCATGAGGCCGGACAGGCCGTGCGGATAAGCCGCTTCGAACTTTGGGTCGGCCCTGCGCCCTCTCCGGGTGAACGGGGCGCCGGTGGGTCCCCATCCTCCGCGGGCAGAGCCGCCCGCCATCTGCGGCCAGGCGCTCACCGCTCGGAGCCGCCTCCCTGGAAGCTGGGGCTGAGTCCGGCCGGGCGCCCTCCCCCCCCCCCCCACCGGCCCCGACCCCCCGCAGGGCAGAGCGGTCTCGAGCGGCCTGGGAGGGGCGGCAGCGCCGCACGTCTTTCCTCGGAGGCTGCGGCTCCTGCCGGGTCACTTCCCGGGCGGCGCAGAGAGAGTGCCCCGCCGGCACCCAGACCGGGCGCCGGGCACCCACCCTTCTTCACTTTGACTTTGGGCTCCCGCGCTTCCCGGAGCGCAGGGACCAGGCTGGGACGCCCAGCCTAACGCACCGGCTCCCGCGCCCTTTCCCGGGGCGCACTCCCCACCGCCTCACGTTCCCGCGGGTTCCTTAGCGGCAACTCGGGGCGAGTTGCAAGGCGTGTAGGTGGGCTAGGGGCTCGCACCCCGCGCCGGGAGGAGCCGCTGGGCATGCGTGGTGGGGAGTCTGCGGGGAGGTCCCCGCTCGCCCCCCTCGGGACTCAGGGAGACCCTGGCGCCCTCCTCCACGGTCACCAACACTCGCCCCCTCGGAGCCAGAGCCTGCGAGGGGGACGGGCAGCGGCTGCGCGGGAGAGGCTAGGGGGCGGCCGCGAGCCTGGGGTCCCTTCGAGCACCTCCGAGGGGTGTGGGTCCGAGGAGGTGGCCGAGGCTATGTCTTCTGGAACCCTGACGCCCTCCCCTGTCTCTGTGATCCCGCAGCGGAGGGGCCGGCGAGGCAGGTGGAAGGAGGAGCCGCCCCCCCCCCGACCCCCGGCGGCAGCGAAACTCCGCCCGGACGCCCGGGTGCCGCGGGTCCGGCTCTGAGGACCCGAGCAAGGTCAAGCCGGCGAGAGAGGGGCGGGGGCTCCCGGGCGCGAGCCTGGGGAGCCTCAGGAGCGGGTGGGAGCCGTCCTCCGCGCCGCGCCCGCGCTGGGTCCCCGGAGGCGTTCATGGCGCGCGTTCGGGAATCCCGGAGCGCTCGGCGCCCTCCCTCCCCGCTCGCCCGCAGCTCTGGGGCGCTGCTGTCAGACTTGTTGCGCCTGGATCCGGGGGGCGGGTGCCGGCCCCGGAGCCCTGGAACCCAGCGGCGCGGCCGGCGGGAATGCGCCAAGGCGGCGCGGGCTCCGCGGGCGGCGCGGGGTGGGGCTCGGTGGGGAGTTCGCCGCCTCCGGTCCTGGGGAAGGCGGCGGGTCCCCTTCGTTCCTGCGCGGGGGCGGAAAGGCGGCGCGAGGCCCTGGGCGGCCTGCGGCACTGCCCGGACCGGCCGGGGAGGGGCGCAGCCAAGTTGCCGCCGGGCCCTCCCAGTCCCTTCCCTTGTCTGCAGGCTCCGGTCCCTCGCGGGCCTCGGCGGTCGCGGCTGTGAAATGGGGACACAGGCTGTGCTCTCGGAGCCCTTCTGGCCCAGGCCTGGTCCCGGGACCCAACGTGCTGGGCCCGCAATGTGCTGGGTCTGCGGCGTCCGGGCCGGCCCGGTCCCAAGCTGATCGGCGCGGAGGACAGGGGAGCAGGGCCGGGTGGGAGGCGGCCCGGGCAGCCTCTCGTGGCTCTCTGGTCCCTTGCCGGCCAGCGTGGCCGGGCCCCGCCTCCCCGAGCGGGTCCTGAGGCCGAGCCTGCCCCCTGGGGACGCCTCCCGCTGGGGCCGGGGCGGCCGGCTCGGGGCTGCGGTGGCGGACGGCAGAGGGCGGCGCGCTGCCTCCGACGCCCGGGAGAGGGCGCGCGCACCCACCGCCGCCCTGCCCGCCCCTTCCGTCTCCTCCGCTGCCGGCAGCGCCCGCCCCATCCCGGGCAGCCCCGGGTGGGTGGCTCGCCGGTCCCTCTGCCAGCCCGCCGAGGTCGTGCGCTTCCGGCTGTCACTCCCCTCTCCCCACACCCGCCTGGCCCCGTGCACCGTGCACAGGCGTGAGCGAGCGTGTGTGTCCATTGGGTGCGTATGTCCATGGGTGCCGCTCATGCACGTGCGTGTCCTGCGGGCATGTGTGCAGGCATGAAACGGCCACATGTGTGCGTGGTGCGGGGCAGGTCTCGTGTGTCCCCTGGATGGCAGTGTGCAGTGGGACCCGTGTTCCCTATGGCAGGCCTCTGTCGGGAAGCAGTGGCAGTGGGTCTCCAACCCCCGCCTGGAGGGCTCTGTTAACCTCTCACAGGCCCTCGGGACACCCCACCCAGCCACCCTGCCTCTGCCGTGCCCTGGGGCAGAGCCTGTTTTCTGGGTAAACACAGGGACCCGGGACCTGTGTGCACAGACCGCAGGCACACACATACTAAACACCTGTGCACACTGGCACCGGGGGTGCTCCTAGTACAAGGCTGAGGGCACAGTCTCCTGCCCCAGGGCTGGTAGGAATATGGGGACAGAGGCCCTGTGAGGGGCAGAGGGGTGGGGGCAGCTGTCTGCTGGAGTCCAGAGGCAGGGCTCCCCAGGAGGCTTCCCCAGAGGGTGGGCCAGTGGTGGTGAAGGTTCAGAAGGGTCTCCATTGAGAGAGGAGCCGTGCAAAGGGCCTGTGGCAGGTGAGCGTGCAGGTGCGAGGACCAGAGAGGAGGGTGACTGGCAGGACGGCGAGGGGGGCAGAGGAAGTAGGGCCAGGCCTGAGCGCCCTGTGGGCCTGGAGCTGTGTCCTGGGGGCCGAGGCCACAGGGGAGCCTTCAGCAGGGCTGGTGATTTAATGATGGACGTGCCAAGGAGATGGTGCTGGGAGGCAGCAGGGTCGAGGCAGGAAGAACGCACGGGGCGTGGTGCGGCCCCACCCACCCCTGCATGGTGTGCACACCTCATCCCACAACGGGATGGCCACCAGCCTGACACCTCCCCCCGGAGCGGGTGGCACATGAGCAGACAGCACACGCAGCCAAGAAAGGAAGTCACAGCCGAGGACCACTGCCTGGACCCTGGACCCTGCAGGCGTCCACACTGCGGGGACCTTGAGGCTGCCGGGCCGCCACTGCCCGTGACCGTTAGGGGAAAGGGAGGCCTGAGAGGGCAGGGCTTCCGAGGGAACTCTGACGCCCAGGCCTCCGCACCGTGCAGGGGGCAGGGACAGGGACCCCTCTCCCCAGGAGACACCGGGACCGAAGCTGGAGCGGGTCCCTCGTGCTTCCCCGTCCCCCACTTCTGGGCCCGCGGTCCTGCTCTGGGTCGAGGTGATCTTCCCGGCTCCACCCGGCCCAGAGCTGAGGGCTGCGCTGTGCTGACCCCTCGCCTCAGCGGTCCCCCCACCCCACCCCAGACAGCCCAGCGGCACCCCTGGGTGCTGAGGGAGGCCCAGCGTGGGGCCTGCTCCCCTGGGCACGGCACCGTGTGCTGCCTGCTCCTTGGCCCGTCGGTCCTGCTGCTGCCGGAGGCCCCGGGGCAGGGGGCCAGGCCATGGAAGGGCCTGTCTAGCCTCGTCCTGCACGTGCCAGCGTGAGGACATGAGGACCTGCCGGCTCCACCAGCCAGGCCTGCCCAGGAAGCCCCCCCCTGCCCCCCACTCAGCGCTTCCGCCCGGGGCAGCCCAGCCCGACTGCTCTTCCCATCTTGAGGCTGTGACCTTGGGCAGGTGACCTTGGATGGGCCCTCCTGCTGGGGCCTCAGATCCCAGTGTGGCGTGCAGTGTGGATGGGGGCGTGGCTCATAGGCCAACAGCTGGGTGGGCACCGCCCCCGCACCTCCGTCCCGGGGCACAGGCTCCTCACTCGGGGGACCAAGCCGGGCACCGTGAGAGGAGAGGACAGTGACGTGTGTCAGACCCAGGGTTCCAGGAGCCTCCCCTCCTCACGAGGGCCCCCACCTCTGCCCCGTTGGGGGGCCCCAGCCTATGGGATCTGTCACCGTCCTCACATGGGACTCCCTCCAGGAGAACATATCTGTGTGCAGGTGCATGTGTGTGCACATACGAGCATGGGTGCAGGTGCAGGTGTGTGCACATATGGGCATGGGTGTCGGTGCATGTATGGGCATGGGTGCAGGTGCATGTGTGCACGTGTGGGCATGCGTGTGCATGCTTGGGAGCGAGTGGGCACAGGGAGGGGAGGTCTGCAGGCTCAGGGGAGGCTTCCTCAGGCAGCCACCTTGCCGGGGGCCTGAAGGAGGATGCGGGGCAGCGGCAGCCCAAGAGGGACAAGATGTGTCACAGGCTCAAGGGCTCGAGTGTCTGGAGTGTCCTCACGGCCTGCAGCTGGCCGGGTGACAGCGTCCTGGGGGAGAGCAGGTGTGATGAGGCCCTTCAGAGCGCTGACCGCTGACCACAGGGCCAGGCGGCCTGGGCAGTGGGGGGGTGGCGAAGGGAGACAATCTGTCCCCCCAAGGTTACCTGGGCTGTCTGCCTCCTTATGGAATGGGGGGTGCCCCCTGGCCCTCTGGGGTGGGGAGCGGGGCAGGGTCTGTGGGGCCACCCCAGCAGGCGAAGGAGGCCTCCCATGGGCTGGGCTGGCAGGTGTGGTGGGCAAGTGTGGTTCTCGGGGGCCCGCCCGGGCACCCCTCCCAGCTCTGGGGGACGCCCCACAGGTCACTGGGGCCTGGTTGGCTCGGGCTGGGGTGGGGCAGACAGTGGCCATGTGGCGGGGGGTAGGTGGCCGGGCCCACCGGCTCTGCATTCACAAAGGGAGGCCTGCAGGCTCTCCTGTCCCGCCTCATGGGCCCCAGGCCCCAGGCCACTCAGATGGGATGTCCTGGGCCTGCCTCCGCCTCCCAGGTGACCAGGCTGCCTGACCTGCCCCAACCTGACCCGACACGACCCGCGGGGCACCTGTGAGGCCCATGGAGCACCTAGGGCAGGGAGGGCTGGGTGCCCCTGCGTGGCCCCCTGTTTGCTCTCCCAGCCCCGCCCACCATAGCCCCTGAGCTGGCCTCGGGCCTCGGGGCGCCTGCCCCTCCCCCAGGGCAGCCTCTTCCCAGGACACACAGGCGGGCACTGTTTGGAGGGCGGGCAGGACAACAGAGCGCCTTTTGTGGCTGGCGTCTGGGTGCCATTGGCAGCCAGGGTGGCTGGGGAGGGGACAAGGAGGCCGGGCCGGGGAGGACGGTCGAACAGGGTGGATGGGGTGAGACTGGAGCTGGAGGGGAGCGCCCAGCCCCCGTCCTTGTCGGCAGGGAAACCGAGGCACCAGGGCTTCTGACTGTGAGGCGGCAGGGGGCAGCCCTTTGCACACGTGGGGATACGCGGGGTCCGGTGGGAGGTGGGGACGGCCCCCCGTGGCTGGTGGTGACCCCGAGGGCCTTGATGTGGGCTCAGAACTCCTACCTCATGGCGAGGCCGTGAGATTGACGCGAGAGGGGGGGAGGGGGAGGGGGAGGGGGAGGGGCGGTCCCGAAAGATCTCCAACCTGGTGGCCGGCACTCAGTCAGCAGGAGCCACTGTCACCCTTTCCCCTTGATGCCAGTGCCAGCTCCTGGTCCCCACTCCACTGCCCTTGCCCTCCCCTCTTCTCTGTCGTCCTCTCGGTGTCTCTGCCCCCCCCTGCCCCCCGCCCGGCCACAGCTCCCTGCTCGGTGCTGCCCACCCTTCACCGGAGCCGCCCTGCAGGCTCCTGGGGGCCGTGCGGCAGGGCCGGGCAGAGGGCCGGGGGCAGCGCGGGCAGCTTGGCCCCTAGAAGGCGATGGCGAGGCGGATTCCCAGGGAGCTGGAGGGCTCGTGGGTCACTGTCCGGGGAGCCCAGCCATGCAGTGGCTGGTGAGGCTGCAGAGACCCCGGCTGGGAATGGGGAACCAGTCGCCGGACAAGGGGCCTGTGGTTTGGGGGAGGAGACAGCCTCCGTGTGGGAACTACAGGGAGGAGTGACCGGCGACACGGGGCCCAGGGCTGGGTCAGCACCTGCCAGCCTCCTCCAGCCCCTCCCCTGGGCCAGCAGGCTCGGGCGTTCTGGTCCAGGGGGGCCGGGCGCTGGGGGGCTGGGAGGGCTGGGAGCGGCCCCGGGAGCCCAGCACCGGGCTCCTGGTGTGCAGCCAGCCTTCCACTTGTCCGGCCTCCTGATGGGGTCCTCGGGCTCAGCCTGGCCCCTGGCTCCCCGGACAGCCCCTGGCCAGGGCCTGCCCAGCCCTGGCCTCCATCCCACCGCCCCACACATCCCCGCCCACATTGAGCTCAGCTCTCCCCCTGCCCTGTGACCTTGGGCAAGGGTGCTCCGCGCATGCACACAGAGATACATGTGCCTACACATGTATGTGCATACCCAGAGGCACATGCGTCACATATATGTGCTTGCACCTGTGCACACACGCCTGCTCCCTGCCTCCGTGAGGGCGCCCACCGTCCACTTGTCCACTTGTCCAGGCCGGAAGCCTGCTCCTCATGGCCACCTCCCTCACTGCCCTCCTGGCCTGACACACACACCCCCCCCCCCCCTGCTCTCCCTGCTCCCACCCCACTTGTCCCAGGCACTGCCCCTCCAGGTCGCCACTCAGGGTGCTAGCCCTGCCCCCTCTCAGATGGATCGCCAGGGCCAGGCTAGACTCCATGGCACCATCTCTCCGCCCACCTGGGCCTGCCCTGGAGGCAAGAAGGCTGGGAGGGGGCTGAGCCGCTGAGCAGGGCCTCGCTGGAGGGTACAGGGTGGAGGCTGTGGACAGAGGTGCCTGAGCCGCTGGAGAGGGCTGTGGGCGTGATGGGGGCAGGGAGGTGGGTCAGGGGCAGGTGGAGGGTACTGAGCGCCAGCAGGTGCAGGAGCCGCCGCACTGGCAGCCGGGCCTCCTGCCCAGCGCTGCCCTGTGACCAGCAGAGAGGCCGCGCCAGGCCAGGGGCTTGGGGCTCGGTGCTTGGACCCGCGGCCGGGCCAGACGCTGGCCGGCAGTCAGGGCGCAAAACCACTCAAGTCAGAGACGTCCTAGACGAGGCCGGGGCGCCGGGAAGTGACCTCAGCCCTGCACTCCCCTCCTGCCCTGGCTTCCTCCTGGTCCCCCGTGGGACCCCAGGGCTCCGAGGAACCCTGTGTGAGAACCCCATGAGTGGGCCCTTTAGGCTGTCTTGTGCCTGGGTGTCTGTTGAAGGTTCACTCCAGAGCCTTGGGCTGGGGCGTGCTCGGCCCAAAAGGGCTCAGGCTCTGCCCTGACCTGCCCCTTCCCCCCACTGACACCTCCCTCCTCCTCAGGGTCCAGGCCGGAGACGTCCTCCGTGTCTGTCCCACAGCCCCTGGCCCCCCCACTTCCATCACCCCAGCCCCACAGCCTCCCTCGCCGGCCCCCAGCCGCCTCCCCACTGCCAGGCGGGCGGCCTTTCTACGGGGCGGCCCTGCTTCCGACCTCCACTGCCGCCTGGTGCTTGCTGTGGGGGACGCGGGGGGGGGCCTCCAGGAGTGGGGTGAGCTGTGACCAGCAGGGCCGGCCGGGCGCTGAGGGCTGTGCTGGTGCCACTGGGCTGGGCGGGGTCCCTGGGCCCCTCTGGGGGGGTGGGGAGGGTCTGGGGGCCCAGCCTGGACTAGCGGTGGGCACTGCAGCCGGGCTGGCTGCTCTGCTGCGACAGCGTCAGAGGCTGTCCCTGAGTGGCCAGGAGACGGAGGGACCAGGGCTCCCCGGACTCGCCAGGGGGAGACGTGGGCAAGGCCCCTTCTGGGGACCTGAACCTCTGCCACTAAGGAGCCGCCCAGGGCCAGGCCGGCCACACTGTCCCCTGACCCTGGCCCCGCCTCCTCCCTGCTGGAGTCCCGGCCTGTCGCTACGTAACCCCCAGGTCCAGGGCTGACCCCCCTACTGAGAGGGAGGCTTCACCCCCATTTGACAGATGGGGAAACTGAGGCTGGGAGGGGCAGCCGGCGTCCGGCCTGTGCCAGTTCCCTGCTCCGTCCCCGAGGCCCACGCAGGAAGGACGCCAGGTGGGGACTGCAGAGCAGGGACTGACCTTGTGTCTCCGGCCAGCTGGGCCGGACGGGAGGCAGGGCCAGGCCCGTGGGCAGGCTGCCGGCCTGTGTGCTCAGCTGGCGGAGGCGCCGGCACCAGCAGGCCAGGCGGACTCTGGAGGGCGCTGCCTCCCTCCCTCCCTCCCTCCCTCCCTCCTTCCCTCTCTTGCCAGCTCTCCTGCTGCGTGGGACCCAGGGCCCAGCCTGGGCTTTGGGGACGGTGGGGAAACTGAGGCTCAGAGACAGAAGCAACCTGCCAGGGTCCCCATGGAGGCAGGTCGGGCTGGGCAGTGCCAACTCCTCCCTCGCACGCGCCCCGAGCGGCCTTCCTGTCTCGGGGGAGGAGCAGGAGCAGGAGCAGGTGCCATGCCAGTGGCACAAGGTTGGGGTCAGTCTGGGTCCAGGTGCAGGTTCTCCTGCCCCTTCGCTGTGACCTTGGGTGAGTCACCCTCTGACCTCAGCATCCCCATGAAAGGGGCTCACAGCACCGGCCTCACAAGGAGGGGTGAGGCCCGCCGGCTGGCTCAGGGGTTGAGCGCCAACCTAGGAGCCAGGAGGTCAGGGCACAGGCCCGGGTCGCGGGCTCCATCCCCAGTGTGGGGCACGCAGGAGGCAGCCGATCAATGGTTCTCTCATCATGGATGTTTCTCTCTCCCTCTCCCTTCCTCTCTGAAATCAATTAAACTATATTTTTTAAGAAAGGAGGGGAGGCGAGGGGTCGCTGCAGGCCAGCTGGACACAGGTGGCTCTAGGGGGCTCTGTGCTCCCAGCCCTCCCAGTGCGCCCTGTCGGGGTCTGGGCGGAGGAGGAGGTCTCCATCCCCGGGCTGGGCCCCTGGGCCTGCAGGTTGACACATGGTGGGTGGCAAGTGGACAGGTGGACAGGGCAGGTGCCTGGCAGCAGCACCAGGCCTGTGTCAGCTGCTCAAAGCTGTGGGGGGCACTGGCCCCTCCGTGCCCTCAGCCCCCGTCTCCCCAGGGGGGTCCCACCAACCCCCATCCTGCTCCTTCTCTTCCAGGTGCTGCCGGCGGCCACGGAGGGCACAGGGCTCTGGACGTGAGGCGCCACTGCAGCCCCCTGGGTCACCCACAGGCCCCTCCTCCTGCCCCCGGCCCCGGCCCCAGCCCCAGCCCCCAGCCCGGTCCGCTCACTGCCGGACCCTGGCATGTCCAGGCCTGGCCCGCGCCTGCCTGCCCAGCCCGCGGAACCCCAGCGGCCCCGCGAGCTAGGATGAGGGGCCAGGCCGCCCCGAGCCCGCGCTGGGTCCTCTGCCCACTGCTGCTGCTGCTGCTGCTGGGGCGCCAGGCGTGGGCCGCCATGGGGGCCGCCGCGGGGCCCGGGGCCGAGCCGTGCGCCACGCTGGTGCAGGGCAAGTTCTTCGGCTACTTCTCGGCGGCCGCCGTGTTCCCCGCCAACGCCTCGCGCTGCTCCTGGACCCTGCGCAACCCCGACCCGCGGCGCTACACGCTCTACGTGAAGGTGGCCAAGGCGCCCGCGCCCTGCCGTGGCCCCGGCCGCGTGCGCACCTACCAGTTCGACTCCTTCCTGGAGTCCACGCGCACCTACCTGGGCGTGGAGAGCTTCGACGAGGTGCTGCGGCTGTGCGACGCCTCGGCACCCCTGGCCTTCCTGCAGGCGGGCAAGCAGTTCCTGCAGATGCGGCGCGACGCGGCCCCCGGGCCCCCTGACGACGACTTCTCCGTGGAGTACCTGGTGGTGGGCAACCGCAGCCCCAGCCGGGCCGCCTGCCAGATGCTGTGCCGCTGGCTGGACGCCTGCCTGGCCGGCAGCCGCAGCTCGCACCCCTGTGGCATCATGCAGACCCCCTGCGCCTGCCTGGGCGGGGGCTCCGGGGACCCGGCCTCCGGCCCCGCGGGGCCCCACGGCGACGTCTGCGTGAGGGACGGAGCAGCCGGAGGCCCTGAGAACTGCCTGACTAGCCTGACCCAGGACCGGGGCCAGGATGGCGCCCCAGGTGAGTGAGGGGCCCGGGCAACTCGGGGAGGCGGCGGCAGAGCTCAGGAGTGAGCGAGGGAAGGAGGGAAGGACGGTGGGGTCGGTGTTTCCCTTTCTGGCCAGGAGGGCCCTTCTTTTTCAAACGCTGGACCATCTGGTGGCCGCAGGCTGCAGGCCGGCGGCCGGGTCTGCGGGGCCTCTGGGGACGCGCTGCGTGGAGTGTGGTCGGTCGGGAGGTGAGGCTTGGGGAGGAGCGTGCTGTGTGAATCGCGTCCACGCGGTCAGTTCCTGAGCGCCGAGAGGCGCCCCAGGCTCCGGGTCAGGCACGGGAAAGGTCCTGCCGATGTCAGGGTCTCTGGGACCAGGGGCAGGTCCAAGGTGCTGGAGAGCCCAGAGCGGCCCTGCAGGCCCAGGGAGGCAGAGGCTGGGCCCGGGCTGGTCAGCCCTGCAGAGGGCGGCCGCGGGGCCTGGGGGTGAGAGCCGGTGGAAGAGGTGCCGGTGGTGCTGGGAAGCTGGTGGGGCTGACAGGTGGCGGGGCAGGAGGTGGAGCCCCCCTTCAGGACACCCCGGGTTTCCTGGGAGTATCTTCAAGGCTGGGGCAGCGGCTGGGACGGGGAGGGCGGGAGGGCACAGCTCGTCTCAGACTATCGGGTCTGAGATGCCAGGCAAGCAGCTGAACACAGGTGCCGGGCATCCAGGGGCCAGGCCGGCTGGTGGTCCACGCTGGCGGTGAGCATTGTCCAGCGCTCTAGCCCCTCCTGAGCCACTGAGGCTGCTGCACTGCTTCTCAGAATAACGTCTTTAACGACATCAAATGCTGGTGGGGCCCGGCCGGCCTGGCTCAGTGGTTGAACATCAACCTACGAACCAGGAGGTCACAGTTCCATTCCCGGTCAGAGCACATGCCTGGGTTTCAGGCTCCATCCTCTCTGAAATCCTATATGATAAAAGGCTAATATGCAAATCGACTGAAGGGCAGAACAACCAGTTGCTATGACACACACTAACCACCAGGGGGCAGACGCTCGACGCAGGAGCTGCCCCTGGTGGTCAGTGCACTCCCACAGGAGGAGCACGGCTCAGCCACAAGCCAGGCTCACGGCTGGCGAGCGCAGCAGCCCGCCTCTGTGGCAGCGCTAAGGATGTCCCCTCAAGGGCTCCCGGACAGCAAAAGGGCACAGGCCGGGCTGAGGGACTCCCCCTGCCCCCCCCCCCCAGTGCATGAATGTCGTGCACCCAACCTCTAGTCAATTATAATAAAAAAGTGTGTGTGGTGCAAAGGCCCCCGTTATGCTGGCCCCCTCTGCTTAAGCCCCCGGATCCCGACTAGACGCCTCCCTGAGCTGTGAAGGTGGCTGGGGAGGAGTGGGGAGAATGGGAGAGGCAGGCCGAGCCCCCGGGGGGGGGGGGGTGTCCAGGACCCCAGCAGAAAATGCCCCATCCAATGGGGGGAACACGTCGGTGGCTTCATGCAGCTCCGGGCGGCGGGGTGGACGGCCGGGAGGGCTGGCCTTGGGCTGGGCAAGGCGGGGTGACTGTGGCCTTGGCTGGGACAGCTGCTGAGGAGCAGAGGCGCGGAGGGTGGCTAGTTCGGGGGGGGGGTGGTCAGCGTGCTGGGCCACTTCCCTGCGGCCACCTGCCCGAGCCTTGGTTTCTTCACCTGCAAAGTGGGGACTGCTCTGCGGGGTGCGCTGTCCCAGGGAGACAGGGCCCAGGGCCAGGCCCCCTGGGCACCCGATACGCAGGCGCTGGGCCCGGGGGCTGGTGGGCAGCGCCGTGCGGGGAAGTGCCTGGCGCTGCTCAGAGCCGCGCGGAGTCGGAGGAGAAGGTGGAGGCGGGCAGGCGTGAGGACCGGGGCGAAGCCTGTGTGCTGGGGGAGCCAGAGCTCCGCCCCTTGCTGGGCACCCACTCTGTGCCCTGAGGCAGGAGCTGGGGTGCAGTGGGGAAAGCCCTGGCTGGGGTTCACTTGTTCTCTCGAGAACAAAGTGGTTACTGGAGGCTTCGAGCAGGAGAGGGACCGGCTTGGACACTGCCCAGGCTGTAGGCACACAGGGTGTCCAGGCCCAGAGCAGGGAGTCGGGGGGGGGGGGGGTGGGAGGCACTGCAGGCACTGCAGGCACCCCCTGAGGCTTTCTGGGGGCACAGCAGCTTCTGGACTTGGGGGGAGGCGGGCCTGGCGGTGGTGGGGGTGCTGATGGACTTGCTGATGCACAGGATGTGGGTGCGGAGGAAGGAGGTGGCCAGACCACTCCCGACACTGGGTGGGGAGGAAGATCCGGAGGTCAGAGTGGACCCGAGTATGAGAGGCCTCTGGGTCGTCCAGGCGGTATCCTGCGAGCAAGGGCTCTGGGGCCTGGGGGTTCTGCCAGAACCAGGTTGGGATGACGCCCCAGCCTGGTCTGCACACGCTGGGCTCCCCAAGCCCCTCAACCCAGCAGCCCATCAGCGTCCTCTCCCGCAGCCCCTCGCCATGACTGGAAAGAGCCAGCACTGCTTCCCTGGTCGCGTGAGGAGTGGGCACCGGTGCGCACGCGTTTCTGATGGGAGCGAGTCGGCGCCGGATCCTCAGTGCCTCCTCTTAGTCGTGGGCAGGGGACCCAGAGGCCTGCGGCAGAAACCGGGGCCCGGGGTGTGGAGGGGGGTGAGCAGGCGGGGCCCCCGTGGAGATTCCAAGAGGGAATGGCTGGCGGCGGTGCCCGGAGGGGGAAGGGGCAGGCGTGTGTGGGTACATGTGTGTCCCTGCATCCATGTGCCCAGTGTGTACGTGTGTGTATGGGGATGGGGTGGCACATGGACCAGAGAGGTCCAGCGTCATCCAGAAGACACACAGCGGCGCCGGGCAGACGCTAGACCCCAGATCCCTCCGGAGAGCCCTCTGCCAGGGAGCCTCGCCCCCCAATGGGGGGGGAGGGAGGCGGGGGAGGCGCGACCTTCATCTCCTCCCCCAGAAGGCCGTGCGCAGCGCCGCGGAGGGAACAGGCGGCCCAGGCCAGCCGTGGCCCATTTTCCCGCTCCCCCCGCCGGGCCTGTCCAGGCGCCACCTGGTCACGGCACGCGCCCGCCTCGCTCGGCCTGTCCCCTCTGCCCGGCCGCCCCCCTGAGGCGCACTCACACCAGGGTCTGTCCGTGTGTCCCCCGTCCTTCCGTCTCGTCCCTCCCGTCTCTGTGTTCTTCTGCCGAGAGTGTGACGGGGCTATTTCTCTCAAGGGTCGTTTTAAATATTCATGTTTTAATTAAAGAATTTTATTGCAGAAGCGACATGGGAGATAATGAAAACGCAGCGTCTTGGGGGCTGGGAGTGTGGGCCTGTGTGTCCCTGTCCCTGTGTGTGTGTCCCTGTGTGTGTGTCCCTGTCCCTGTGTGTGTCCCTGTCCCTGTGTGTGTCCCTATGCATGTCCCTGTGCATGTGTCCCTGTCCCTGTGCGTGTCCCTGTGTGCGTGTCCCTGTGTGTGTCCCTGTCCCTGTGTGTGTGTCCCTGTCCCTGTGTGCGTGTCCCTGTCCCTGTGTGTGTGTCCCTGTCCCTGTGTGTGTCCCTATGCATGTCCCTGTGCATGTGTCCCTGTCCCTGTGTGTGTGTCCCTGTCCCTGTGTGTGTGTCCCTGTCCCTGTGTGTGTGTCCCTGTCCCTGTGTGTGTCCCTATGCATGTCCCTGTGCATGTGTCCCTGTCCCTGTGTGTGTGTCCCTGTCCCTGTGTGTGTGTCCCTGTCCCTGTGTGTGTGTCCCTGTCCCTGTGTGTGTCCCTGTCCCTGTGTGTGTCCCTATGCATGTCCCTGTGCATGTGTCCCTGTCCCTGTGCGTGTCCCTGTGTGCGTGTCCCTGTGTGTGTCCCTGTCCCTGTGTGTGTGTCCCTGTCCCTGTGTGCGTGTCCCTGTCCCTGTGTGTGTGTCCCTGTCCCTGTGTGTGTCCCTATGCATGTCCCTGTGCATGTGTCCCTGTCCCTGTGTGTGTGTCCCTGTCCCTGTGTGTGTGTCCCTGTCCCTGTGTGTGTCCCTATGCATGTCCCTGTGTGTGTCCCTGTCCCTGTGCGTGTCCCTGTGTGCGTGTCCCTGTGTGTGTCCCTGTCCCTGTGTGCATGTCCCTGTCCCTGTGCGTGTCCCTGTGTGTGTCCCTGGCCCTGTGTGCGTGTCCCTGTCCCTGTGTGCGTCCCAGTGGTGGGGAGGGGCTGAGCTGGGGGCTGAGTGTGTGTGACGCCTGGACAGGTGGGTTGGAGGATTGGGACTGAGATGCTGGGCTGACACCAAGACCCACCCAGGACACCCAGCCCGCGGGAGGGGCCGAGTCCTGCGCCGACTCCAGCCTGTCCCCACGTGGTGGGTGGCCTCTGCCGTGACCCCCCACCCCCAGGACTTTGGTCTCGTCCCAGCCCCAGAGGCCACGCTTCCCTCGGGAAGGGCGTGGGAGCCGTCCCGGGATCTGCGGGGTGTGGAGAGGTCGGGCAGAGAGTGTGGGGAGGGGGCCAGATGGCACTGAGCGCGTTGAGGGGCACAGGAGAGCCCGAGGGGGTGTGGGGAGGCCTGAGGGCTCCCTGCTGGGCTCAGGCCTGACCACCTTGGCCAGGGCGCTGCGCTCACACGGACCGAGTTAGAAAACTGGGGGAAACAGGTGTCAGTATCCTCTGGTGACGAGGCCACCCCAGACGTGGGGGAGGGAGGGCGGGCCGTGACCACGGAGCACACGCGTGTGCCATCCCCCATGGAGAAGCTCCACGTGAGGCTGCCGTGTCCCAGAAAGATGGGAGGAGGGAGGCCCGCAAGGGGGGACTGCCGGTCACCCAGGCCCGAGGGCAGAGCCGGTGGGACTGGGCCTTCCACCTCCAACAGGACCACTCCCAGGACGAGCGGCTGGAGGAGGGGCCCGCAGACAGGCCTGGGGGCGGCGGGGGGGGGGGGGGGGCGGCTCGCAGGCCCCAGTCTCTCTCTCTCTTTTTTGGATGCATTAGTAGCTCCTTTTTTCCTGAGAAATATTCTTTTTGTTGTTGCTGTTAATCCTCACCTGAGGATAATTTCCCACTGATTTTTAGAAAGAGTGCAAGGGGGGCGGGGAGGGGAGAGAGAGAGAGGATGTGAGAGAGGCACGCCCCTGGTTGCCTCCTGAACGCGCCCCCACAGGGTTACGGTTTGAGCCTGCAGCCGAGGCCTGTGCCCTTGACCAGAGCCGGACCCGGGACCCTTCAGACCACAGGCGGACGCTCTGTCCACTGAGCCACACCGGCCAGGGCCTCTGTTTCTGTCTGTGAGATGCCCCCCCCCCCCCCCCCCCCCCCCGCTGCGAGGCGAAAGGAGAGGACGCCTCTCCCAGGTGCTGGGAGGGGCTCTCGGCGCCTCACCTGCAGGGGCGCCGCACCTGGAGGGGGCGCAGCGGGGCATGGCCCTCGGCCTCACCCTGAGGTCCCAGCACCTGCGCAGCTGGGCGGCGCTGGCCACGCGGCCGAGAGGGGAGCCCCACGCTTCCCTCAGGAAGGGCGTCCGAGGGCCGGCAGGGTGTGGAGAGGCTGGGTGCAGAGTGTGTGTTGGGGGGCGGGGGGGGGGGGCAGGTGTCCCTGGGCCCGTTGGGGGCCACAGGGAGAATGCAAGGCAATGTCTGTGGGGGCGAGGGCTGTGGACTGGGGACGGGTTGGGGAGGGATTTCAGGGAGCTGTTCCAGCCCCTGAGGTCCCCATGGGCAGGTCCCTGCAGGGGCTCAGAGAAGGGACCTGGTGCCCAGGGACAGGCCCTCCGCTGGTGGGAGGTGGGCGGGGTCCTCAGGGAACTCGGCCAGGTGGGCGGGGTGAGTGGGCAGGTGCTGCGCCACCTGCTGGACTGGGGCGCCCTCTGCTGGAGGAGACGGGAAGTGCACAGTCCCCCTTCTCCAAAGGGGGACTCCCCACGCACCTGGAAGGCCCAGCAGAGGGAGGGCCCCCCCCCAGCGCCCCACTTCCGCCAACGTGGGGTGTAGGGACGGGGAGGTCACAGCTCTGGGCTGGGGTGCCAGGGTGGGAAGAGGCCCGGAGCCCCCTCTCCCTGCGCCTTCCCTCCTGGGTGGCCAGGCTCCTCAGAGGCCATTAATTGGTTCCATTCATCCCGTAATGAGATGGAAATGAGGCTTCCGGACAGAGGCGCATTGAGCTGGGGAAGAAGGCGGCCTCTCTCTGGGCCTGGAGGGCGGCCCCAGCCTTGCCCCTCCTCCGCGGGCGCCGTGGGGAGCTCCGGCCGGGAGCACCTTGGCCGCCCAGCCTCGCAGTGCTCACCCCTGTCCTGGACGCACATTTATCAAGTGTCAGCTCTGTGTGGGGACACACATTAAAAATAAAACGCCAACAGAAATAGCAGCTTCATTTCCTGAGTGTGGCCAAAGCCGGGCTCAGCCTGTGCCGGGATCGGGGCTCAGCCTGTGCCGGGATCGGGGCTCAGCCTGTGATGGGATCGGGGCTCAGCCTGTGCCGGGATCGGGGCTCAGCCTGTGATGGGATCGGGGCTCAGCCTGTGCCGGGATCGGGGCTCAGCCTGTGATGGGATCGGGGCTCAGCCTGTGCTGGGATCGGGGCTCAGCCTGTGCTGGGATCGGGGCTCAGCCTGTGCTAGGGATGAGGAAGCTCATGGCCAGGGTCAGAGACAGTGCAGGATGAGGGTCCAAGCTCAGTGTGGGGTCAAGGGGACTCAGCCTGCAACCAGCGTCCGAGTCCAGCATGTGACCCGGGTCAGGGGCAGGCCTGGGGGGCGGTCTGTCCTCTGAGCCCATGGCCACCCCCTCCCCTCTTCCCCCACCACATCCTTGCCACCTGGGTCACCAAGGTAACCAGCCCTGAAGTAGTGGGTGTTTTGGCAGCTGAGGCCTAACCTGAGTCTATCCTGAAAGACGAGCTCTGCAGCAGTTGCCATGGGAACCGAGTGGCATCCTCTGATTAGCCTGGCTTGGACACTCTCTCTCCCACCCACGGCTGGTTCCACGTCACGCAGGCTTCCGTGTGGGGGCTGGGCCGGGGAGGCGGGGGTGACCGGCGAGACGTGCCCAGCCTGAACCGCCGCCAGGCCTGTTTCCCAGGACTTCGGCCTTCCCTGCCCCTGCGTCTCAGGGTCACAGGACAGGGTGGCCAGGGCAGGGACCACTGCCAAGGCCTAGAGGCCCGACTGGGGCCTGTGGCTGGTCGTGGTGGGCGGCCTTAGTCTGGGGGACACCGCGGAGCATGCGGAGTCCGACTGTGGGTTCCAGGCCTGCTCCTCTCCTTGGCTCGTTGGGTACCTGGGGCTCCCTCCCGTCCGCGTCTGGCACACGGCCGTGGCACTGGGCGTAGCCCCCCGAGTCGGGGCATGAGGAGTGGGAGCAGCCTCGGCCGTCGGCGCCCTGCTCGGGCACACGGACATGCGGAGGCCAGCGGCCCTGGCGATTTCGTCCTTACCTGCAGTGTGAGCCCAGGTGGCGTTTCTGCAGGAGACTCCAGGCTGGTGCTGCTGATTGCCCGTCAGTGCCAGCTCCGGGCAGGCCTCCCAGGCATCCGGACCACCTCCTTGAGCCCTAGTTCCTGCTGCTGTGAACGGGGTGAAGAGCTGCCCCCAGGGTGCACGGGACTTAGGTTCCTGGGTGCTGAGGTGTCTGGCACAGAGCATGGCCCCCTGGAGGCGGAGGGGCCCTGCCCAGGACGCCCCGGGACAGCTGGACCTGGGAGCAGCCTCCCGTGAGGGTGCGGGGCGGGCCCACAGCGGGCGCGATCCTGCTCAGGCTCCTCCTAGCGGGGGGCACGGGCCCTCCACGGGGCTGCAACAGGAGCAGGGAGGCCTTGCTGCGGGAACACGATAGCGGAGGAGGGCTCACACCCAGGCCCAGGAAGGGGCTCAGAGCCAGGTCCCTCCATTCCCCACCCCCGTGGCCCGGGCAAGCCCCTCCCTGGGCCTCACCACCCCTGGGAGCCTCCTGTGACTGAGTGTGAGCGAGGGACAGAGCAGGGGCCGTGCCCACCCACCAGGGGCAGCCGCTAAGGTCCCAGCCCCTCCTGCCTGTCATGGTCTGAGTGCATCCGCCCCCCACCTGCGGTGTCCCTCCTGGCTGGGCGCAGGGGACAGGCAGGAGGCTGCGTGCCCTCGCAGAGGTGCCCTGCCTCTGTGGGCCCGGGGGAAGGTGGGGCCGTGGGTGGGAGGGTGGGCCTATGAGAAGAGGGAGAGAGGTTCCCCATAGGCTTGGGGTGGACGGCTCCCCTTGCCCACTGTGCACCCAGCGTGGAGAATGAGGCCCCGCCGCCCACACTGGGAGGTGCCTGCCCAGCCGGCCTCGTTCCCTTGCGCCTGGCTCCCCCTGCTGGCCGGCTCCGGGAACAGGCGCGGGAGCCAGGCGGGGCCCTCCACTGACCGATTCTGCGCTGGCCAGTCACTTGGACACGAAATTTGCTGCAAATCAAATTGACTCTCTGGGGTCGTCTCTGACCCCAGTGACAACGCCCGTGCCCGTCCTTGCGCAGCCCTTTCCTACCCTTCTGCGTCAGTCCGGGGAGCAGCGCCCGCTATCCTCAGACGAGGGCATGGGCAGGGCAGGATGGCGGGGCGGGGGGCGGCGCAGGCACCACCTGGACCTGGTCTTATTTTAAATATATTTTATTGACTTCAGAGAGGGCGGGAGCGGGAGAGAGAGAAGAAAGCCCGACCCAGTCCCGCCTGCCCACTGAGCCCTGCACGCTCGCCAGGCTCCACACCTGTTCTGTGAACACCCGTGTGAGAGGGTCATGGATCGGCTGCCTCCTGCACGCCCCCTACTGGGATGGAGCCTGCAACCTGGGCCTGTGCCCTGACCGGGAGTCAAACCGGGACCTCCTGGTCGTAGGTCGATGCTCAACCACTGAGCCACACCAGTTGGCATGAACTTGGTCCTTAGGCCCTTAGTCTCCGGCCCACCCTTCCCCTACATCCCGCACTCCTAGCTGACCCTCCACACCCAGGCCTCCCACGTGCGGGCCCACCCTGCGGGCCGCTGTGCCCCATCCCTGCCTGGGAGACTCCCGGGGTCACCCTCTGAACTCGGGACCCCTGCGCTCTGGTTCCCACCAGGCGGCTGGAAGCTGTGGTCCCTGTGGGGCGAGTGCACGCGGGACTGCGGGGGCGGCCTGCAGACGCGGACGCGCACCTGCCTGCCTTCGCCCGGCCTCGGGGGCAGCGGCTGCGAGGGGGTCCTGGAGGAGGGCCGGCTGTGCAACCGCAAGGCCTGCGGAGGTGAGTGCGGGGGGCGGGCCCGGGCCCCGGGTGGGCGGGGACTTGGGCGGGGTCCGGCCGATGGGGCGGGGCCTGGGCGAGGGCGGAGCCGCGGGTGTGGAGCCGCGAGAAGGAAGGGCTGTCAGTAGATGGGGCTGGGTGGGCTTTCCTCTCCCCTGTGGGTTGGGGATTTGGGGGCGCTGCCTTCCTCCGCCACCCAGCCCCACCTGCCCCCTGCCCCCCTGCCCAGCTCCATCCACCTCCGGAACATGCGTCTCCAATAAGACTCTAATGACCTCACCCATGTTTTAGCTGTTCCCATAAAATTAAATCAGGTTATAACGAGACTCCATCCTAAGGGTGGGGTTTTGCTGGGGAAGAGGGTCCCATCGCAGAAACCTGGAGAGATTCCTGGGGTCGGGTGGGGGGGTGCTGAGCAGGGCCCTGGGGGAAGAGGGCGGGGCGTGGAGCAGGGAGATGGGGCCCAGGGCCCTGGTCCCAGGTTTCCCAAAAGTCCGGGGGAGGAGGCGGGGCGGCCAGGGTCCCGAGGGCCACCGGCCGCTCACCGGAGCCCGCCCCGCAGCGGCCGCGCGCAGCAGCTCCCGGAGCCAGTCGCTGCGCTCCACGGACGCCCGGCGGCGCGACGAGCTGGGGGACGAGCTGCAGCAGTTCGGGTTCTCGGCCCCGCACACGGGTGAGCTGCGGGGGGCGAGGCGTGAGGACGAACACGCGTGGAGCGGGGGGCTGGTTTCACGGGGAGGGTCTTAGCACAAGTCCCGACTCACTGCCGCCACCCGCACCAACAACCTTGGTCGCCATGACTACCCGAGCCTCCCGGCGCCAGGCTGCCCTCTGCTGGCGGCTGGCTTGGGGGCACCAGCCCAGCCCGCGGGTTCGGAGGGGACGCAGGTCCTGAGGTCGGCCCCGCCGCCCCTCCCCGGAGGGCGGGGTCCCCCTGCGGGTCTGGCCGCGCTCGGGCTCCGAGGCAGCGGCGAGGCTGTGGGTCTGCCCGCAGGTGACCCCGCGGCCGAGGAGTGGTCCCCGTGGAGCGTGTGCTCCAGCACGTGCGGCGAGGGCTGGCAGACCCGCACGCGCTTCTGCGTGTCCTCCTCCTACAGCACGCAGTGTAGCGGGCCCCTGCGCGAGCAGCGGCTGTGCAACAACTCGGCCGTGTGTCCAGGTGGGCGGCGCGGGGCCGGGACCCGGGCATCTGCGCCGGTGGGGGGGCCGGGGCGGGGCATCTGCGCCGGTGGGGGAGCCGGGGGCGGGGCACCAAGAGCAGGGGCGGGGCATCTGCGCCGGTGGGGGGGCCGGGGCGGGGCATCTGAGGCGGTGGTTGGGCGGACAGGGGAGGGAGGTGGTCATCAGGTCAGGGGTTGGGCAGCTGTGCCCTGTGGCCGCAGGGTCAGCGGCGCCCCGGCTTCTCCGCAGTGCACGGCGCCTGGGACGAGTGGTCCCCCTGGAGCCTGTGCTCCAGCACCTGCGGCCGGGGCTTCCGGGACCGCACGCGCACCTGCAGGCCCCCCCAGTTCGGAGGCAACCCGTGCGAGGGCCCCGAGAAGCAAACCAAGTTCTGCAACATCGCCCTGTGCCCTGGTAGGTGAGAGGGAGGGCGCCGGGGGCACCGAGGAGGGCGGGAAGGGCCAGCCCCAGGGGCCAGGCTGGAGGTTGGAGACTCTGGGGCACCCTCATCCATGTGCCCCTGGCATCAGGGTGGCCTTAGGGGTCTCAGGCCCATGTCCCAGGCTGCAAGGTGTGTGTGGGGGGGGAGGGGCCTGGGCGTCCACACCACATCCTGGGCTGGGCGCGGCCCCGGGTGTTCACACGGCTCCCGTCCCTCCCTCCCCCGGGCCGGGCAGTGGACGGAAACTGGAACGAGTGGTCAAGCTGGAGCGCCTGCTCCGCCAGCTGCGCGCAGGGCCGGCAGCAGCGCACGCGCGAGTGCAACGGGCCTTCGTACGGGGGCGCCGAGTGCCAGGGCCACTGGGTGGAGAGCAGAGACTGCTTCCTGCAGCAGTGCCCAGGTCAGCGCCCATGGACGCGGGCGGGCAGGGAGGAGGCTGAGGCCATGGGGTGACCGGGCCTGGCATGTGGTCCGGGGCCTGGGGCCGGGAAGGGGGGGGCAGTGCAGGAGAGGCACCTGTTTTTCTGTACTGAGCTGAGCTCTGGTTTCTCCTCCCGGGTCTCAATGTTTTTCCTCCGGATGGCTTCCGGCTCCACCCGCCTGGGTCCCCGCGGCTCTGCGTGTCCGGCCCTCCCGTGTCCTGTCCGTGTTGTCCGGCCCTGTGCCTCTGGCCGCCGTGACTCCTGGATCTGCGGCGCGTCGCTCCACACTGGCCGCCCCGCAGTGGACGGGAGGTGGCAGGCCTGGGCCTCGTGGGGCGGCTGCAGCGTCACCTGCGGGGGCGGCTCCCAGCGGCGGGAGCGTGTCTGCTCGGGGCCCTTCTTCGGGGGAGCCGCCTGCCAGGGCCCGCAGGACGAGCACCGGCAATGCAGCGCCCAGCGGTGCCCCGGTGCGTGTCCCCTCGCCACCCACAGCCGGGCTCCGGGAGGCGCCCCAGTGGCCGGGTCAGGCTGAACTGGCCGGGGACCCTCTCCCCCTTGTTTGTGTTTGTTTTCTTAAATATATCATTGTTGATGTCAGAGAGGAAGGGAGAGGGAGAGAGAGACATCCATGATGAGAGAATCAGGGATCGGCTGCCTCCTGCACGCCTCCTGCTGGGGATCCAGCCTGCAACCCAGGCCTGTGCCCTGACCGGGAATTGAACCGTGACCTCCTGGTGCATCGGCTGATCTCAGCCCCTGAGCCACGCGGCCGGGGGACTCCCCTTGTGAGGGTGGATGTCCTGGGGGGGTCTGACCGCTGACCTGCACCAGCACTGAGCGCCCTGCCTGTCCCCTCCCTCCTGGCAGAGCCCCACGAGATCTGTGGCGAGGACAACTTTGGCACCGTGATCTGGAAGGAGACCCCGGCGGGAGAGGCGGCCGCAGTCCGGTGCCCCCGGAACGCCACGGGTGAGGGCGACCGAGACGGGGTGCGGGCTCTTGTCCTCACGGGCTGTGTGTGGGCGGGGAGGTGGCCCTGAAGCCTGGCCAGGGGCTGTCGGCAGCACCCGTGTCCCTGTCGCCCCGAGGCCCCGTGCGTGGCAGGGCTGTGCCCGCCTCCCTGGCCGATTCCTGGCAGCAGGCGCTGGGTCACAGGTGCACCTGTGTGTAAGGCTGTCGCTACCTGACACCAAACACCCACCTCCAGCTGCGGGCTCTCCCCGTGCAGGTGGGGCCTGGAGGCTTGTCTCCCACTGGTCCCGGCAGCAGCCGCTCAGGAATGCTGGGGATGAGAGAAAGCGAGGGGCCCCTCCTGTGCCGGCTCTGCTCTCGGACTGTCCCTGCCTCGGGGCCGAGGGTCGGGCCAGAGGGGCTGGGGCCTGGGAGCTGCGGGCGGGAGCCTGCCCGGAGCTGGGCCTCCAGCCGAGAGGCAGGAGCAGCGCTGACCCACCGCCTCCCCAGGCCTCATCCTGCGACGCTGTGAGCTGGACGAGGAGGGCGTCGCCTACTGGGAGCCCCCCACCTACACCCGCTGCGTCTCCATCGACTACCGGAACATCCAGATGATGGTAGGGCCTGCCGCCGGCCCGGCACTCCTCTGCCCGAGTTCTAGGCATAACCCTCTGTCCCCGGTGGCACCCTATGGACACACGTCCGCTGTGGCCACTGGCAGGGGCGGCAGAGGGGTCCCTGGGCCTGGGAGGTCCTGGGCACCGGCCCTGCCGTGTCCTGTAGAATCGTGGCGCCCAACCCTCTCCATCTCCCCAGACCCGGGAGCACCTGGCGAAGGCACAGCGAGGGCTGCCTGGGGAGGGCGTGTCCGAGGTCATCCAGACGCTGGTGGAGATCTCCCAGGACGGCGCCAGCTACAGCGGGGACCTGCTCTCCACCATCGACGTCCTGAGGAACATGACGGAGATCTTCCGAAGGGCTTACTACAGCCCCACGCCCGGCGACGTGCAGGTGCCCCGACCCCCGGGCGGGGAAAGGGGGCTGCAGATGGTCACCCTGAGCCCGACCCTGGTCACACTCTGAGCCCTGACCCTGGTCACACGCTGAGCCCTGACCCTGGTCACACCCTGAGCCCTGACCCTGGTCACACCCTGAGCCCTGACCCTGGTCAAACCCTGGGCCCTGACCCTGGTCACACACTGGGCCCTGACCCTGGTCACACCCTGGGCCCTGACCCTGGTCACACCCTGGGCCCCGACCCTGCTCACACCCTGAGCCCTGACCCTGGTCACACCCTGAGCCCTGACCCTGGTCACACACTGGGCCCTGACCCTGGTCACACCCTGGGCCCTGACCCTGGTCACACACTGGGCCCTGACCCTGGTCACACCCTGAGCCCTGGCCCTGCTCACACCCTGAGCCCTGGCCCTGCTCACACCCTGAGCCCTGACCCTGGTCACACCCTGAGCCCTGACCCTGGTCACACACTGGGCCCTGACCCTGGTCACACCCTGAGCCCTGACCCTGGTCACACACTGGGCCCTGACCCTGGTCACACCCTGAGCCCTGGCCCTGCTCACACCCTGAGCCCTGACCCTCGTCACACGCTGAGCTCTGACCCTGGTCACACCCTGAGCTCTGACCCTGCTCACACGCTGAGCCCTGACCCTGGTCACACGCTGAGCTCTGACCCTGGTCACAGGCCCGGCCCTGACCCTGCTGCCTGTCCTCTGTTCTTCCTCCTCGTCCAGAACTTCGTCCAGATCATCAGCAACCTGCTGGCGGAGGAGAACCGGGACAAGTGGGAGGAGGCGCAGCTGGTGAGGGCGCGGTCAGAGCAGCAGGTCGGCCAGGCAGTGGGCGCCTCCCGGGCTGAGCTGGCCCAACGCTGGGTTCTCACCCCCGTCGGCCTCGCCCGTCGTGTGGCTTGGAGGAGGTTGCTTATGCTTCTGAGCCTCAGTTTCCCCGTCAGTCAGAGGACAGTAGCTCACCTTGGGGGCTCCGTGAGGATGGGGGTGGGGATGTGTTGGTCACGTGGTGCTCGTTGGGGTGACCAGGATGCGGCGGTTCTTTTTCATCGGGAAAGGGTGGTCCCTCCCTCCCTCCCAGGCTGACCTGCCCCCGGGCAGCACCCAGGGGGGACGGCAGGAGCCCAGGGACCCGCTGTCCTCCCAGCCTGGCCCCCTGGCACAGCAGCCCCCCGGGCCCAGTGTCCCCGTCTATGAAGCGCGACGGGTACTCGAAGGTCCCGACCCCGCTTCCCAAGTCAGGCCCGGAGCCTGCGGGCTGGGGAGTGGCCAGCAGGACCCTAAAGCTGAGGGGCAGGTGGAGGAGGTGGAGGAACAAGGTGTCCCCGGCCCGAGTGTGGGGCCCTCGACGACACCCCCTGTAGCTCTGGTGGTTGGTGCTCTCATGGGGCTGCTCCCGCCTCTGAGGCTGCCCCCCCCCCACCGCCCCCCAGATGGGCCCCAACGCCAGGGAGCTGTTCCGGCTGGTGGAGGACTTCGTGGACGTCATCGGCTTCCGCATGAAGGACCTGCGGGACGCGTACCAGGTGACAGACAACCTGGGTAAGCCCCCACCCCCGCTGAGCCCCCAGACTCTGCTCGGCTCTGGGCCCGGCCTTCCTGCCTCAGTTTCCTCCCCTGTGTACATGGGCAGGGCCAGACCCCCTCCAGGCAGCGTCTCAGGTCAGTTCTGTGCACAGACCTGACACGATGTTGGCCGGGGCGGCAGGGGCGTCTCAGACCCAGACAATGTCCTGGAGACCTTGTGTCCTGGGACACACCACGACCCCCGTCCACAGCCCCCGGGGCCGGGCCCACGCTTACTGGTCGCCCAGGGCCGGCCTTGGGGATGGGAGGGCTGGACTGTGCGGCCGCCCCTCTCTGCCCTCCACGCCCAGGGCGTCTGCTCAGGGGGCTGGCTCACCTCACGGGTATGTGGAGCCGTAACCGGCTGGGACCCCACCTGAGGCCTACGATGACCACATCCCACATGCATCGCCGGGGCCATTTGTCAAAGCCTCCCCCACTCTCTCTGCACACCCCTCCTGCACCCCACACCCCGCACTTTCCTTCTGCGTCACCCCCACCCAGGCCCCGTCGTCTCCTTACTGTCCTCGCGAGGCAGGGGGTTAGGGGGACAGGTTCGTCCCTGTCCCTTTTTTGGAGCCACAGTGGAGGGGGGGCTGGACTCCTGCATCGGGGGCAGCGACGTGGACCCCCTGGGCCCGTGGGACCTGGCCAGCCCAGGAAGCCATGGAGGGACAGTGCACACGGGCGCGAGCCGTCCGCGGGGGGGACCAGGGCTTCGGGGAGAGGCCAGGAAGGGCCCGGGGCCCCAGGCTCCCTCCGAGCTGTGAGCACCCCACGTGGTGGCCCTGAACCCCCAGGCCCGCTTCCCAGCTCCTCAGGGCCGAGGCTCCTCGTCACGTGGCTGCTCTGTCTGTCTGTCCGTCTGTCTGTCTCCTGTCGGTGCCGCCACAGTCCTCAGCATCCACAAGCTCCCGGCCAGCGGCGCCACGGACCTCAGCTTCCCCATGAAGGGCTGGCGGGCCGCGGGCGCCTGGGCCAAGGTGCCCGAGGACCGGGTCACGGTGTCCAAGAGCGTCTTCTCCACGGGGCTGGCAGGTGCGGCCCCGGGAAGGGACCCCCGGGGGACTCGGGCCAGTGTCTGAGGTCCGGCCTGGGAAGGGGCTCTGGAGCCGGCTCGCTGCTCCCTTCCTTCTCGGTGCGCGCATGGCCTCCGCTGCCTCCGGGAGCGTTCCTGCCCCTCCCCCCCCGCCCCCTGGCCTCCCGGGCCTCCTCGTGGGATGGACAAAAGCACCTCCGCGTCGCAGCAGGGACTGGGCTTCCACTGAAGTCACGCGGCAGGCGGCCGGGTGCCCAGCAAAGAGCATGGCCCTGCCTGTCCCAGCTCTCGGGGGCCACTCGGGGGACCTGGGCAGGCTCCCCAGCTCTCCGACGGCAGCGCTGTGTCTGCAGTGGGTGCAGCAGGCCCACGGAGCCCGGCCTCCCGGGGTCCAGGCTGGGGAGGAGGGAGGAGGGTGACCGGCACCCTGTCTTCCAGAGGCCGACGACTCGTCCGTGTTTGTGGTGGGCACCGTGCTCTACCGGAACCTGGGCAGCCTCCTGGCCCTTCAGAGGTGGGCCCCTGGGAGGCGGGCGTGGGGGAGGCCAGCCTGGAGGAGGCGGGGAGGCAGGGGCACGGGCACCGGCGGGCACCCAGGAAAGGGGGCTCCGGGACCCCCTGACGCGGCCCTGACTCCCAGGAACACGACCGTCCTGAACTCCAAGGTCATTTCGGTGACGGTGAAGCCGCCCCCGCGCTCCCTGCTCACCCCCTTGGAGATCGAGTTTGCCCACATGTACAACGTGAGTGCCCCCGCGGGTGCGCGTCTGCGGGCGCGGCTCCTCCCGTCGGGCCCTGTGTGTGGAGGGGGGGCAGGGGGCCTCCCTCAGCCTTGTGGGAGCTGCCTTCACCCCTGAGTGGCGAGTGGGGAAACTGAGGCTCAGAGAGCGGCTGCGACCTGCTCAGGGTCACACAGCAGGGTGGCGTGGGAGCCGGAATCTAACCGCCTCTGACACCTGAGTCCCAGCCACGGCGGCCGGTCCCCGTCCACCTGGTGGCTCCTGTGGGGGAGACACAGCCATCCCATCCCAAGACCATGTGGCCCTGCCGCAGGCCCGCCATGCCCTGTTCCTTGGGGTTGGTTCTCTGTCAGGCCAGGCCGAGACGCCCTGGAGCCCTAGGGTCACCCAACCAGGACAGGGCAGCGCCAGGCCTCGAACCCCAGGCCAGCGTAGTGGGAGGACCAGCCCTGCTCTCTCCTGCTGTGTGGCCTTGGGCGAGTTGCTCCACCTCTCCGTGCCATGGTTCCCTCCCTTGTCAAGTGGGAGCTGCAGGGTTAGGTGAGGGCTAGGTCATTCCCATCGGCGTTTAGAGCAGCTGCCCCCCAGGAATGCTGAGAGCCCCCCGCCTGTGGCACGCGGTGGCCTGCAGGATGGGGTGTTCTGAGGCCTCCCTGTGCCCGCCTGACCCTCGCTCGCTCACCCTCAGGGCTCCCTGGGGGCTCTCTGCTGCCCATTGTGCCCGCAGCTGACCAGCCATGGGAGCACCCAGAGGTGGCTCTGGCCGGGCTGCCCAAGGGCAGGAGCTGCCCATGGCCACATGGGGGTGGGAGGCAGGGGGGTGGGAGGCTCTTCCCTCCTCTGGCCTCAGCGTCCTCCCCCTCACGCACCTGTTTCCTAGAGGAACTTGTAGGCAGAGCACCTGGCCCAGCTGTGGGCGGATCCGGCCGTGACCCTGGGCCGTGACCTGTGACCTGGGTGGGGCTCGAGAGGGGTTGGCAGGTGGCCCTGACTCCTCCCCCTCCCTCCAGGGCACCACCAACCAGACCTGCATCCTGTGGGACGAAACGGACGTGTAAGTGCCTGTGGGTGGTGGCCTCGGCCCAGGGCGGGTTTGGGGAGCTGACCCAGCGCGGCCAGGGGTACAGTTTCTGGTCTGGCCACGTCTCCCTCCGCCCGGTCTGGCCCTGAGGCAGCATGGCGCCCACCGGGCCGCCCCCGCCCTCCCAGGGAAGTCCAGCCGGGCCAGTGACAGGCCTGGCCACCGCCAGCAGGACACAGGCCTGGGGCGGCTCAAGGGAGGGGGGTTGGAGAGTGGGGTGATCAGATGGGAAGCAGCGGTGGGGGCTCCGGGATCACAGGCCCAGGTCCTTGTCCTGCACCTGCCGATGCCGCCCGTGCCATGGGCTGCAGCGCATGAGAACAAGCCAGGTGCCCGCTCCATGCCCGGCGGGAACAGGCTGGCTTGGCTGGGCTGTGACATGGGTCTCAGGGCTCAGCATGGGCACCCCACAACGGGGGGGGGGCAAGACATAGCAAGGCACAGGGGGAGGTGGGGACCTCATTTAGCCACAGGGACATTTGTGCAAAGGTCCCCGTGAGGAGCAACGCCCAGAGGGGTGGAGGGTCAGGACTGGGAGGGTAGGACAGGAGGGGTTTGGCGCTGGATCCGAAGGCCCAGGTGGGCCTGGTGGGACAGGGCCTGCCCCCAGGGGTTGGGCGTGCACTGGGGAGGGGTGCTCAGTGGGAGCTGGGAGTCGTCACCGTCAGCCCGTCTCGGCCCTGGCACCAGCCCTCAGGCCTCCCTGTGCGCCCTCCCAGGCCTGGGGGGAGTGTGCCCTGCTGGGCCCCAGGCCTGAGGTACAGGCACCATGTCCCCCCTCGTGCTCTGGGCAGCGAGTGGGCGTGTGTCCTGGGGGTCAGGGCAGGCTCCCAGAGCGGCTGACAGAGGAGGACAGGGGCCGAGGCAGAGCCTGAGCAAAAGCCAGGGCATAGGCAGGCAGGTGGGGTGGGGGGGGGGGAGGCCGTGGACTCTGCAGGGGCTGTGCCCGGCTCTGGGAGTTGTCGGGCTGCCCGTAGCCACCCACCTGGCTGCCCGGCTGCCCTTCAGCCATCACAGCTGCAGGAGCCCTGGTCCTCAGCCTCTCCCCCGTGAGACGGGCGGCAGCGGGTCTGTGTGAGGCTCAGGTCATGCCACGTGCCGCAGGAGGGGCAGTGGACCCGGTGGCCGAGGGCTGGGCGCCTTCGGGCGGCCCACGGAAGGAAGCCCCTTCGCGAGCTGATGTGTGAGCAGAGGTACACAGCCCCGGGCGCTCCCTGGGCCTCGCCTGGGCCTCCCTGTGAGGCTCTCAGAGGCCTGGGGTCCAGCTGAGTCATCCGATCCAGAGCTGGGCCCACAGGGGAGGGAGGTTGGTGGGTGGGGGCCAGGGAGGGCTCCCCCAGCTCTATGCTGGATGGCTCCTCCCCATGAAACGCCAGAGGAGCCAAGGGCTTCCTGGGTGACCCGCTGTGGCCTGGGCAGGCCCAGTCGGTTCCCCAGTCAGCCCTCGCTGGAGGAGCCCTGGAATTGCATTTGCTGGAGAGAAGGGGTCTCCCTCCCATGTCTGCAGGGGCACGTGTGTGGGGGAGTGAGAGCACCAGTGACCATCCAAGGAAACAGTGACCTTGAAAGCCATGACTCGCCCATGGTACCCGAGCCCTGAGCACAGAGAGAGCTGAACTCAATCTGCCTGACCCTGAGCCTGGTCTCACTGAGCCCTGACCCTGGTCACACTCAGCCCTGACCCTGGTCACACTCAGCCCTGACCCTGGTCTCACTGAGCCCTGACCCTATTCACACTGACCCTGACCCTGGTCACACTCAGCCCTGACCCTGATCACACTGACCCTGAGCCTGGTCACACTCAGCCCTGACCCTATTCACACTGACCCTGAGCCTGGTCACACTCAGCCCTGACCCTGGTCACACTCAGCCCTGACCCTATTCACACTGACCCTGAGCCTGGTCACACTCAGCCCTGACCCTATTCACATTGACCCTGACCCTGGTCACACTCAGCCCTGACCCTATTCACACTGACCCTGAGCCTGGTCACACTCAGCCCTGACCCTGGTCACACTCAGCCCTGACCCTATTCACACTGACCCTGAGCCTGGTCACACTCAGCCCTGACCCTATTCACATTGACCCTGACCCTGGTCACACTCAGCCCTGACCCTATTCACACTGACCTTGACCCTGGTCTCAGCCCTGACCCTGGTCACACTCAGCCCTGACCCTATTCACACTGACCCTGACCCTGGTCTCACTCAGCCCTGACCCTATTCACACTCAACCCTGACCCTATTCACACTGACCCCTGACCCTGGTCTCACTCAGCCCTGACCCTGGTCACACTCAGCCCTGACTCTATTCACACTGACCCCTGACCCTGGTCTCACTCAGCCCTGACCCTATTCACACTGACCTTGACCCTGGTCTCAGCCCTGACCCTGGTCACACTCAGCCCTGACCCTATTCACACTGACCCTGACCCTGGTCTCACTCAGCCCTGACCCTATTCACACTCAACCCTGACCCTATTCACACTGACCCCTGACCCTGGTCTCACTCAGCCCTGACCCTGGTCACACTCAGCCCTGACTCTATTCACACTGACCCCTGACCCTGGTCTCACTCAGCCCTGACCCTATTCACACTCAGCCCTGACCCTATTCACACTGACCCCTGACCCTGGTCTCACTCAGCCCTGACCCTGGTCACACTCAGCCCTGACCCTATTCACACTGACCCTGATCCTGGTCACAGCCCTGACCCTATTCACACTGACCCTGACCCTGGTTTCACTCAGCCCTGACCCTGGTCACACTCAGCCCTGACCCTGGTCACACTGAGCCCTGACCCGGGTCACACTCAGCCCTGACCCTGGTCTCACTCAGCCCTGACCCTGGTCACACTCAGCCCTGACCCCGTGTCTCATTGGAGATGACTTGAGTGCTCTCACATTGTTACGCATGCGTCACTAGCTGGTGGGCTGTCTCCTCCTCCGACCCCCGGGACAGCCGAGTGTGCGGCACACTCATCTTGGACAGAATGAGTCAGAGGGTCCCACCCACACTGCAGACCCTACGCGTCTTGTTCTCATTACACATGCACACACATGTACTCATGTTCACATGCTCACACGCACACACGTGCACATGCATGGGCTCAGCACCGATGCGGGGTGTCATCACATACTTTGTAAACTCCAGGCCCTGACAGGCCCCTAGAGACCCTTCCGTCAGGAGTCCTGCCATGTAATCAGCCCCTCCTCTGAGTGAGGAGACCCAGTGCCCCCCTTACCCTGGCTGACGGGGCTCAGGGCCCCTCCCAGCACCCCACGTCACATGGCAGCAGCAGTGAGGTCTGGGAGCAGGCATGTTGGTGGGGGAAGGAGAGTCCTGCAGACAGGATGGAGGATGGAGGATGGAGGATGGGTGGGGGGTGGAGGATGGGGCATGGGGCATGGGGCAGTGAGGAGATGGGTGGCTGTGTGGAGGATGGAGGGTGGAGGATGGGGAATGGGTGAGTGGAGGATGGAGGGTGGAGGATGGAGGATGGGGGATGTATGGAGGATGGGGGATGGGTGAGTGGAGGATGGAGGATGGGGGATGGGGGATGGGTGGAGGGTGGAGTATAGGTGGAGGGTGGGGGATGGAGGATGGAGGATGGAGTACGGGTGGAGGATGAGGATGGAGGATGGGGGATGGGGGATAGAGGATGGGTGGAGGATGAGGGATGGGTGGAGGATGGGAATGGAGGATGGAGGATGGGGGATGGGTGGAGGATGGGAATGGAGGATGGAGGATGAGGGATGGGTGGAGGATGGGAATGGAGGATGGAGGATGAGGGATGGGTGGAGGATGGGAATGGAGGATGGGGGATGGGGGATGGGTGGAGGATGAGGGATGGGTGGAGGATGGGAATGGAGGATGGAGGATGAGGGATGGGTGGAGGATGGGAATGGAGGATGGAGGATGGGGGATGGGTGGAGGATGGGAATGGAGGATGGAGGATGAGGGATGGGTGGAGGATGGGAATGGAGGATGGGGGATGGGGGATGGGTGGAGGATGAGGGATGGGTGGAGGATGGGAATGGAGGATGGAGGATGGGGGATGGGTGGAGGATGGGAATGGAGGATGGAGGATGAGGGATGGGTGGAGGATGGGAATGGAGGATGGAGGATGGGGGATGGGTGGAGGATGGGAATGGAGGATGGAGGATGAGGGATGGGTGGAGGATGGGAATGGAGGATGGGGGATGGGGGATGGGTGGAGGATGAGGGATGGGTGGAGGATGGGAATGGAGGATGGAGGATGAGGGATGGGTGGAGGATGGGAATGGAGGATGGGGGATGGGGGATGGGTGGAGGATGGGGGATGGGGGATGGGTGGAGGATGGGAATGGGGGATGGGGGATGGGGGAGGGGTGGAGGATGGGAATGGGGGATGGGGGATGGGGGATGGGTCAGTGAGGAGATGGGTGGCTGTGTGGAGGATGGGTGGTCTGTGCTCTCTCCCAGCCACGGGCCCCCAGCACTGCCTCCCTCAGGGGGCCCCTGCCCCAGGGCACGTCCTGGTCCCTTTAAGAGCTGTGCCCCATCCTCGGTTTCCGTGGAGAGAGCAGCGAGGGGCCGGCCAAGCAGGGAGCGAGCGGAAGGGAGACTTGGCAGCCCCCCGAGTCGCTGTCGGTGGCCCGTTCCCAGCCGAGTTCTCCCACGCCAGCCTGCTCCTGGTGGGCAGGGCCGGGCCGGCAGCCCTCACAGAGGCCCCCAGTGAGCATGGGGTGCGCTCTGCTCCCCACCTGAGGAGGCCAGGGGGGAAGGGGGTGCTGCCCTGGGCAAGGCCACCCCCCACCGGAGCCTCTGCCCGTCTGTGCCCCCATTTTGTCCTGGGGGGCAGCCGGGCGGCAGATGCCTGCTGGGGGCCTGCCTTCTCCTGCGAGGAGGGACTTGGAAGGACAGACAGGTCCCGGCTGGGCCATGGGCCACTGGGCTCTGCCAGGCCTGTGCCCTCCGCCCGCCGGGCCCTCT